AATAAAAGTAAATCTACTTGATGTTTCAAAATAAGCAGAGGTATTATTTAAATGGGAGTACTTATATAAACTCTCTTTGTAGATAAACCTGTGGATAATAGTAGTATGGTATACTATCAATATATTGATGAAGCTTTACGAAATATTTACAGCCAGGTTACAAGCAAAAGCTTCTAAAAATGAAAGTCAGGGATATATTTGGGAAGCTAACATTCTGAGACCAAAATTATACTTCTTCACACTCTTGAAGATGATTGCAGGCTGGTACATCCAGAATGAACATCAATTGAATTGATGATTGAAATAATGAAGAGGTATTGTCGTGTGGTTAATCATTTTCAGAGAGATGTCTTGCAAAACACGTGGCCGACGTAAAATCGTCTAGTGTTTCTGAGGGATGAAATAAGTGAAAGTGCAGTTTCATAGGGGTGTCCGTAGATGCTAAGTAACCAGATAACAAGATAGTAGTGGTAGTAGTAGCAGTAGTAGTAATTCTGGTAATAGCTACTGATAGTAGATCATTACAGGTATGAGACAAGATGCCCCAGCATGCAAGGTGGTTTGTAAAACTTAGGTACTCATTTCAGGCTGTGGCCACGCTATGGTCTCCAAAACAATATTTATTACGTTTTTTAATGATACTATTTGGTATTCATTATTTCTATTTTACTATCGCCAGCTGGATAAAGCACCTGGATTTATTGAGAAAATATATTTACAAGCACAATGGGTTACCACAATTCTTATTTCGTATTTCATAGATATGTTGCCTATGATTATTTATGCTTTAAAATTGTAGCGCAACTGTTTTTCTTAGTTTGTTTCAGCTTTTAGGTGAGAGTGAGGACATTCCGTATTTCAGGAATGGTTTTGAACTATGATAAATATTGATGATAATGATACATTTATAATAATTTTAAATTACATTTGGTACTTACTATTTCTATTAGGTGCATATTTTACTAGCATATCTATTTTTGGCTAAGATGTGATTGCACATTTCTTGTTTTTACGTATTTTACTGCTGTCTAAAAACTTTCAGGCTCCCTTTCAAAATCATAGCCCAAATCTTTTTATCAAGCTTTAGAGAAAGAACATTCCCAATTTCAGGAATGGCACAGTTATAGACACTCCCGAGCGTGATAAACGTGATATGAATACTGTTGATAATGATAGGCAGCTGTTTCAAAAAATATTCTGCCTGGATAGCTGGATGAATGTTGATGGGTAAAGATAGAGGATGAATAGGAACAATAGAAATATGTTAAGAATGATTGAAGTCCCGATTTATAGTATGCTGCATGCATGAAAACAGCAATCAAACAAACATCAAAATTTTTACAGGATAAGCATTGGAGAGTATAGCATCAAGGTTGGTTTTGAACTTCACGAACCACTGAAATATCTTCAGAACTTACACTAAGAAGACTAAAATCTTTCCACTCAAATTTATGCTATTATTCATGAAATACAGAGCCAACTTGCTGTTTCAAAATAAGCAAAGATATTATTTGAATGCGAGTACTTATGTGAACTCTCTTTGTAGATAAACCTGTGGATAATAGTAGTATGGTCTACTGTCAATATATTGATAAAGCTTTACGAAATATTTACAGCCAGGTTACAAGCAAAAGTTTCTAAAAATGTGGGACATATTTAGGAACCTAACATTCTGAGGCCAAAAGTTATATTTCTTCATGTTTTTGAAGATGATTACAGGCTGGTACATGCAGAATGAATATCAATTGAATTGATAATTGAAATAATGAAGAGGTATTTTATACATAAACTTATTTATTGTTCATGTTTCACTGACGTCTTACCCAATAAGTCAAACTTATCAGGAAATATAAGTTCTGAAACGTATTGGAAAAAGCAGCGGCGCCTAAGAAGAAAGCTTTTACCAAATTTTATTTTTCTAACAATTTATTAGAAAGATGTCAGTGAAGTTCGAGGGGCGTTTTTAAAGTAAGAACACATTGCGCATCCTGTAACGTAAATACCGTTCAATCTCAGACACTCTTGGCCAGTCTCTCACCGCCGCTATAAAAAACTCATGATCAATTAGTTTGATTGGAGAATAACAATTAGGTCTTTCCTTCGAGTATATTCAACCAAATTGGGTCACAGAAGAACTAGAAAGACAATTATTGTTAAATTTATATAGGCTGATTCCTTTAAATTCCTTTTGTAATTGTTATCAGCTTTGTGTACTATTGATACTTCCATTTTATCCTATGTCAGGTTTCCCATACATATCTTAGTGCTAATTTTGAGGTTGCAACATTTTCGCCGAAGATTGCATAACAATTAACCAGTGTGCTACAACAGTGCTGGGTTGGTTTTTGCGTTATTTTTGAGGGCTTTTGGTGATTTCGGGACTATGGACGAGGGTAACGTATCTGGAATTAAAAAAAGCGACAAAAAACTCACGCTCGCTTGTCGTTTTGCAGGGCCGGGCGTCCCTTTTGTGAGTTTGTTGGTTTTGCGTGGTGCCAGCTTAAAATTTGGAATGATCGTTTCACGCAATCTCAACATATTACAGGACCTTTCACACTAGTGTAGCAACACACTGTATATGAATATGAAAATAAAAACAAAAAAAGTGTCACCTGGAAGATAGTTAAATAGAATATATTGTCACGGTTGTCACGGAAACGTTTATAATAAAGAATTAGTAAAGAAATATGGGGATTATCGACATGAAAACAAAAGGATAAGTTTTTTGATGCTACATTAACTAAAAACTGCCACGACTTGGCTCTTGTTTGAATATTTATGGTGACTATGAAAAAAAAAATTAAAAAAATGTTCAATTTTAGTTTGTGATACAATTTTCATTAATAAATAAATTTTTTTTGACTCGATTACAAAACGATTCTTACTTAAAAAATGACCCTCCTAAACCTTATTTCACGAGTATCCATCACGCTTTGAGGTGAACAGCTGATCACAAAAGCGACATCTTTGTGTTAATTTGTAATGTTGGCAATAATGAATTTCGGGACCGTATTCAGAGCTGTTGCTCACATATGAGGATTATATTTTGAAGTGGATGGGAAATGTGACAATAAAATGTACAAGTACAGATATAAAAAACAGTTGGCCTATGTCTGTATTTACGAACACTGCATTGTCCCAGTTGTGTACATTTCATGACTTCCTGCAATCGTTTATATTTATTATATATATATTATATATATTTATTACTTGTTAGAATTCCTTGAGTAATATTCAGACCTAATTGAGGGAATCGAACCTCTATCAACTCGGTCATTTACTGCCACACATTCTGAACTAGATGTATGGCTGTTTCATTGACCTTTAAGATCATATGGTGTTTCAAGTTATAAAAGTAGATATAATTAATATAGTCAAAAACTGTTTATCTTATTTTATTCCTACCTGACTTTAAATGCAGTCATGGTCACTGGCAGCCATTGTGCTTGTAGCGTTTATTTCGTATGCAAAGAAACTTTTTTAAATAAGAGTTGTTAGCAAGTACAAAATGAATCTGTAGCGTACAAAGAGCCGGAACAAAATACGGGTCTGTCTGGAGTTCACCGATCTCTCGGAATTAATTATATGTCCTGTGCCGATATGGGGTATTTTGAAATATTATTAGATGACTAGCTGTCATTGTCCCATGATGGATACTCGTGAAATGGGGTGTATAAATCGTTACTTCACGCTACTTCAGTTTTATGTGCTTTGTGACTTCAATGCTACTTTTTTTTAGGTCAGTAACTGTGGTATGCTGGCGGATTATAGATTTTCGATTGTGCAAATGAACCCAGAATTGTGGAACGACTTGATTTTTTTTTCACCTCATACAATTAATCTGAGTAGTGACAGTTGGTGTTTTCCCTCGCCCAAGTGCGAATGCAGTCTCAAAACACCATATCCCCTAATAAATAGTAGAGAAAATGAAAATCATAGTTCTCCTATTAGGGATCATG